CACTCAGACAGGACACCACATTTTAAGGAGGAAAATGACAAATTGAAGCATGTTCACAGATAAGCAGTCTAGTTTGTAGGGGCCCAGATCATGTCCTGCTGGGGAAGTTGAGGAGCAACTTCTTGTTTTCTTCAGCTGTCTGCAGGGCTGTCCCGTAAAGGACATTGTAACTTTTCTGTGTATTCTCAGTATTCTCAGGCACACAAGGAAAGGGATGCAGATATGGGCTCAGTTCTAAGGAAGACTTTCTCATGTTGTGTCTCTGACCACTTGATCTCAGGGAGAAGTGATTATGGTAGGTCTTTCTTATTGTAAAGTTTGGAGACTCCATGATCTCCTGTGGAGATCAAGATGGAGGGTTTCCACTATAGATGAAAGATTGGACTAGGAGATGCCTGAATTTTTTTCTAAATTTTAGATTATATGTTTCTGTGTTCATAGTATATAGAGAGAAGAGAGACTAGAGATTATTGTTTAACTAGAAAGAACTAATACAAATTCATACCGAGAGAAAATCCATAAGTTTGGTAGGTCTTGGATTTTAGAGTTCTTGTGTTTTATTTTTCAGGCTCTTTTCAACCTCATATAAAGAGCAGAGATATGAATATGAGTCCCAGACAAGACCATAGTTGGCTCCTGATTTGGTATTTAAAAGATACCTGCCCTAATAGGAAAACTCTCTCCAGATTTCAATGGACATCAATAGCCACTTTGATACCATGGACCTTATTGTCTTTTCCAACTTTATAAGATGATCACAGGCACAGGGAGAGAGATGTCTGTAGACACATGCCTTAATTATTTTTCTTGTTGCTGAGAAAATATCCAACACCCAAAATTACAGGAGGATAGGTTTATTTTGTAGAGGTCTCAGTTCATAGGTGGCTCCCTCCAAGGCAGACAGGCTTCACAGAGGAGAAACAGTTCATAGTGGGCAGAAGGCAGTAAGATGGTGAAGTAGCAAATGATGACCCCAGCCCTCTTTTCTGTCTCTTATACTTTATCCAAGCTACACACCCTTAGGGCAGGTAGCATTCACACCCAGGCTGAGCCTTCCCATTATCCACATCCAGAGCTATTCCAAATCAACCAGTGGACTAATTTAGTTACCACACACCCTTGATCCAGCATCACGCACTTATCCCAGCATCACACACTCTAGATCCAGCCACTTCTGTAAAAGCCCTACTTATGACCCCACATGAGGCTCTGGGGACACATCTAGACATAGCCATAGCAACACCTAACCCCCTCCATATATCAAATCATGAACCTGATCCGGTCTGAAATAGCAGCATGGATGAATAGAATTGGAGGCTCCTAAGTGGCCATCTCAGATGGCTCAGAGCCCCACTCCCCAGCTTTTCAAGGACACATCCATACTGATGAAGTGACTGACCTTCCTCCTGCTCCTGGTCTGTGTGTCCTGCGCTTTTCGTCTAGATTCTAAACAATCAATGTGCCTCCCAAAATAAGCCCTGTTTAGTGCCACTACTTGTTGGGTTTTCTTTACTCTTTATTTTTAGTTTCTTTAGTCAGATTGGTTTATTTCTTTTAGAGGTTTTCAACCAACACTGTCCACTACCATCTTCCCTGAAAACCAGCATAGACGCCATTTATTAGCTATGTGTTGGGGAGATACCCCCAGACTAAGAAATTGATAAAGAGATTGAGAGACTAGTCTTTGTGTACAGGCAGCAGAAGGCAGAACAATGGTGCCAGAACTCAGAGCCATTATGGATTAGACAGAATTCCCCTCAATTTGTTCTCCTCATCCAACAGATTTGGATTGTCTTCCTGTTCTTTCCCTGACCTGCTTGAATTTCTAATTTTGAATATGATTCCTAAGTAATGGAGGTCTTGTTATCAGCTTGAAGTATAATTTCTAGAAAGTCGCCTTTCCTTTTTGGGCCTCAGGCTCCTTGGCATTGAGCCTTCAACTGCCCCTATGGGCTGCACTGGGAAAGGCTACTCATTAAGGGCACACTGAATGGTGACAAAACAGGTGCAAGGGGTGTAGGCTGCTTGCAAGCAAGAGAAAGGTCTGTACTAATCATCCCAGAATCTTAAAGGTTTCGAGCATCTGTCAAGATCCAAGCATAAACTGGGCACTATAATTGGGCCCTTAGTATCTCGAGTAAGTTTTCTTGACACCTCTGCAGAGCAGTGGATGGATTAGATGTGGTGTCAAGCAGTGAGTCTGTTAATGTGCAAAGCAGAGAGGTGTCAAAACTGGCAAAAAGCAAAGCTTCCAGCTCTTCTCAATCGCCATAAAAACAAGTGAATGAGGATGCTCGGCTGTCACCGGGAATCGGGGACCAAGGCCAGTTTGGCAACACTGCCAGTGAATGGTCCTACTGTCTTCCTGGCTCTCTGTCTTCTTACCTGTCACCTTCCCCTTAAACTTTAATTACCTGCTGGACCCTGTAGAATGTCTGTTTACTGGTGGTGAGCTGGAGGAGGAGGAGAGATGGCTCCAGAGAAATACAAAAGCCCGTCAGCCGTCCCAGCAACCATGTGGGACAGAGTGGCAGTTTTAGTCATAAAGATATGTTGGTGGGAAGATTTACCAAAGATATATTTTTCCCATTAGAACTATACCTCCCTCCGGCCTCTTTATCTCCAACACCACATTTGTCACTCTGCCACTATTTTCTGGGGCTATGCAGAGATGCTCCTTCTGATGAAGCTATTGTGAGTCTACTGAAAGCAGGACCCACAGCCTCCTCCATGGTCACCTTGCCCTGCCCTGGTCTCAGGAGCAGTTCCAGCTGCCATAACCATAAGGGAAGGGCAGACCTTCAGAGACCTTTTCACAACAGAGAAAAGAGCCTGAGAAAATGGAGAAATATATGGGCAAAAGTTAGAGAAGAGATAACTGGACAGTTTACATGAAAGTTCATTCAGTATGACTTTGCTTAACACAATCCTCCTTGGAATCTTTTTGAGAACTTAGAAAGCATCCCCAAAAAAGGACAAAGGAAGAAATGCCAGATCTTGTCCACATTGTCACTGAACGTTACAGGTTCATCTCAGAGTTAAAAGCCATGGGCTCTTCCTCTTTGTGTCTACTGGTGCACAGGCCCACGCCTGGGACTGCAAACACCCGGCCTGTGGAAGAGGCCCTGTCATTAGCATGGTGAGTGCAGAGCGGGGTGCATCTGTGCCTTTGGACTTCTGGATGCCTCCTGAGTAGAGGCAGGCCTGTGATATGGGGAGCAGGGTGGGAGGCAAGTAGTGAGGCTAGTTTAGCTAGAAGAGTGGTGAGCCGGTGGTGGGTAGAGCTCAGTGGTAGAGCACTTGCCCATGCACAGGGTCCTAGGTTCCATCTCTGACACCACTAAATAAATAAGTAAATAAACAATTAAGTAAATAGAGTTGTGATTAGAGGAATAAAACTCACTGTGGTGACAATCCTTATTCAGGGGACTGTCTGCAGGACCCTGTGCACAGCCCTCTGATTATTTGGGGCATATAAAGGAGATTTTCTAATCTATGCATTCTGGGAAATTAGAACCTATGGAAGGGTAAATCCTACAGTCTCATTGGTTCTCACCCTGGCCGCAGGAATCTCTTAGGGGGAGCTTTAAAGATACAGCTCCCAGATCCTGTGAATCAGGGTCTCTGAAGGTGGGTGGAACGTGAGAGCCTGTGTAGGGAACTCAGAGACTTCTCCCAGTCTGTGAGAACTGAGTTGTACCTTGAAAGGAAAATGGGATGGGAAGGAAGAAAAGCACAGACTGAGCAAAAACAACAAAGAGGAGCAAGTAGGGCATTCATTGTCCTAAGAAGGGAGAAACTCACCTCCGCCAGTTTTCTTCTTACCCAAGCATGGAAGGGTAGTTAGCAGAAACAGTGCCAGAGCAAAGAGAATATTAAAAGCTTTAAGGCAAGAAGAACCTCAGTGAGCTTTTATTTACGTGGGGTTTAATGTGACATTGGAAATTAGCACTGGAATTTTTTAATTTAAAAGAATTATTAATTCATCTTAAAGTATCCATTTACTCATTATCATAAATTTTAAGAAAAATAACTGTTTCCAAAATTTAAAAAACAGAAGAATAGTATTATTTTATATTTTTGAGAATCTCTTTTTCAAGGGACACCAACTTGTTCCTGCTACCCTGCCTCAAATTTAACATCTAAAGTCGAATTTGTTGTCTTTTCCCCACCCCTAAAGACCTCTTTTCATCTCACTTCATGACACCAAGCTCCATGCTCCACTAGAGCTAAAAACCTGAAGTGAACCCTGGCTGCCCCTTCTGTTCAACCCCCACCTTCCAGGGCTTCCTGATCTGCCTAGCACACCCTCTCACACCCTTCACAGCCCTCCACTGCTGTTTTACTCTCCCACCCTATTCTCTTGGCCTGGAAATCCCATTAGTATTTCCCTCTTCCGGTCTTATGAGCAGTGTGTCCACCTAGAGAATTTCTTTCTCCAAGACCTGCACAAGCATCCTCTTTTGTTTTGAGATCTTCCTTTGCCACATGCAGCCACACACACCTGGTCATCTTCTTCTTTAGTGTCCAACCTGCTTTTCCATAATGCTATCCACTGCACACACATTATTGTAGCACAACCATTTGTTCACATGGCTTTCTCCTTTACAGTAGTGGAAGCCACATGGCAGCAGAAAATATGTTGAATTGTCTTGTAGCCCTGCCTTCTTGAATGAATGCTAATATCACAACCAAGTGGATGTTGATGAGACAGGAGCAAAGCCAAGACCAGAGCTAGGAAAGTAGATCAACCTTCTAAGCCCACCTAGCATCAGGGTCAAAGAGAATGTAAGTCAAGATGTTAGCAAGACCACAGAGGGCAATGAATATCATAACACTCAAAGGCAAACAGAAAGAAGGTAGTGTCTTGGTTCCCAGTGCCTAGCAGTGGCTGGTGTGGCAAAGGGGGTTGATAACAGCAAAGAGCAAGGCATTATGTCTGGATGAGAGGACAGAGCTGAGTGGAGTTCTGGAATGGGCTTTCTCCATACCCCACATACCATAAGCTGTTGCTTGAATGTGTCATCCAAAAGTTCCTGTGTTGGAAATTTGATCCCCAAATTCATATGTTGATGGAATTTACTGGTGGGGATTTTCTAGGTAATTAGAATCAGATGAGGTCATAAGGGTAGGGGCCCCATGATGACATTAGAGGGTTTATAAGAGAAAGAGTGATAAGCGCTGTTTCACTATGTGATTTCCTTTGTCATGCTAAGATGTACTAAGAAGGTCCTTACCAGGTATTGTCATCTTGATAGTGGGTTTCCCAACCCCAGAACTATAAGAAATAGATTTCTTTTCTTTGTAAATTACCCACTCTGTGGTGGTGTTAGAGCAACACAAGAAAAACTAAGACCCCAGGCTTATTATGCATAATGGGTCCCAGAGATTGCCTGAGGAAGACAGGTTCTGCTCAGACTGGGCCACACTTGCTCTGGGGACTGCTGGGTCTTCTCTAGTGCAACATCCCAGAGCCCTCCAACTGGAAGAGCTTGTCAAAGCAGCAGCTGGCAGCACCTGAGGCTCACAGATGGCATTTGTTTGGGGGACAGAGAAGGAGCTGGCCTCTCCAGAGCAGGAAGCTGGCACTGATGACTAATGGGAGATGCAGTTGAATTGTATAAACGCACTCTTTTGTCTATTCAAACAAGAGAAGTAGCAAACTAAAAAAAAATGAGACAGAAACCCATAAAGTGAGACAATTATTATGAGACAGCCACAGGTAGACAGAAGTGAGAGCAAGGTCTTGTCTTTATTCACAAAGCCTTGGGAAAATTGTATAAATGCGAAGTAGTGGGAGGGAAGAAAAAAGCCTTTGTCAGATCTTGCTGCTAGCACCTAGGGCCTGGGGAATGTAGGTGGAACCACGACCATTGGGGAACTTGCTTTCCACACTTGGATAAGCCCCATCAGTGTGCTGCAGATGAGGCTCAGGGATGAGCCTCAGGCTTCAAAATCCTGCTTCCAGTAGTCCCTGAGCAGAAGAGAGCTGTGTTCCCTCTGCCCCTTCCCAGAAATCCATAATTGGTATTACGTTTTATTAGTAGGAGGAAAATGGAATGGAACAGCCTTGAAACTACACTCTTTTTTCTTGTTCTGCCTCCCACAGCTCTAAAGAAAGGATGGCAGTCCCCTTCTTGGTCCGTTAGGACCTATTTTGTCTTCCCCTACTCAGTCTCGGCCCAATATGGCGCCTGGTGCAGGGGGGTTGGTTCCTGGAGCAGGAGAGAGGAAGGAACTTGGTAGCAGCAACGTCGCTCACCTGAGGAACAGCAGAAGAAAGTGGAGACAATATATAGATTGGAGTCACAGAGGCTCTGACTCTATCAGTCTCAGTTTCCTTATGTACGAAATAGGTATGATAATATAATATAATATAATATACAACATATAATGGGCATAATGGATACCAGCCTCATAGGTTCGTTATAAGAAATGCTGGCAATGCTACATGTCAAGCTCTTGGCATGTACTCAGTGTTCATTACTTTTTTTTTTTTTTTTTTTTTT